ATAAAAAGAACCAATTGAACCGTTTGCCTAGCAAAGCTTTAACCAAAAAAAACTAGTATATAAAAAAGTAAATTAATTTTAAAAAGTAATTTTACAAGAGATAAATTCAATAAACAGTTATTCCGATTCTGCTAATAATTTTTTCTGACAAAATACCAGATCAAGGTTATATGCAGTGTTATTTCTGTAAAAATGTGCCCATGAAATTTATATTTTGCTTTGGTTGAATACTGTAGCTATTATTTCGTAAAATCTCTTTAAATGAAACATTGAACCTGTTTGCTCCAGGCCGTTTCATTGGACCCCACCTTTGGGGTAAAATGAACCAGATGACAATTTTTTCCAAAACACATTTCTACAAAGTTCAAAATAGTTGACTTGACAAATTACAATGGATATGAATGCTATAGCATTCACATAATTTAACTTTTAAAAATAAATTGAAAACTTTCTCCGATATAACATGTATTACAATCATTGCAATCCACTGCAAATACTATGTCAGCATATTAGTGGATTTAGCTGGGAGTTTTACTGAACATGGTCAGATAGTTGTTTGTTTGATATGTGTAATTTGTATAATATAAATTCTCTAATGTAACATAATAACAATTTACTGATCGTGGTGCCAATTTTACATTGATCTTTGTATATTATATCAGTACAAGCCGCGCTAGCCTTGTGATTGCTTTTTATTTTTTTATTACAAAGTTAAATTATTTTACTCGAACCTATTGAAATATATTCAATTCCATCATCCTCTGCCATTATTTGTTTTAGCTTTATTTAAATTTATTTCCCCCAAATATTTGCTCTGGCGACCGCACGATTGCGGCGCAAAATCGCCGTGATTGCATAAAATTGCAATTGAACGGGCGCATTGAATTTTTTGAAAGTATGAACATGAATGTGAATTATTTTGACCTATATATTTTCTGAACATTTGCGCTGATTTCGCTGCAGCCTCGGAATGTTTAGCCAAGCGACAGAGTTAACTCACAGATAACAATGTTATTAACGGACCATTAAGTCGGACTATATACAATACAATTCGGGAATAAGGCAAATAAGAGCAGGAAGGTGGTGAGGTGCCTAGAATGGTGACCAATGCAGAATAAAATTAGCTTCGGCAAATAAATGAAGTGGAGAAGGTTGGCAACATTGGGTGCAATAAAGGAATTAAGGCTTCTGGTTCGTGGTTCCATTGGTTCCATTCAGAAGTTTCATGTTGAATATTGGTGTCTGTTTGAAATCCGATATCACAGTAGTGATATCGGTTTTCGCTTGGAAATATAGATAACAATATGTTTCCAAGTGAAAATAGTCCTTTGGGGTATTGCTGCACCAATAAAAAATAATCAGTATTACAGAAATTATAATAATAAACTCATCATATAAAGGTTGGACAACCGTTTGGGTGGTCTACCATCATCATTAAACAGTCAAGAAGAAAAAATAACAACGAACAGCTTATAGAACTAAACATATTAAGTTCTGATTGTTCTTAAAGATGTAGAAAAAATTAAAGAAATAGGGATCGATTCTGCCGCATAACAGAAAAATATTAGGGCAAGGCCATATTACGCTCCAACTTCCATACATTATGCTACTGAATCATTCTGAATATTGTCAAAATTTCATGTATTTTCTGTGCATTCAGAAATACACACAGTTTTACACATACACTGCAACGTCACTTGTATGTTATGAAGCAGGGTCAAAAAGACCCTGTCCAGTTTTTTTTTCTTTTCAGGTTCGTGCTCAGTAGAGTCCTTTCTTCGCCCGCCCTTCACAGGACTTCTTCAGTTGTTACCATATCTGTTCACTTTATCTTTTCGTCTTCTGCACCACATTTTAAAACTCTCCATATAGATTTTGTCGGCTTTTCTTAAAGTCCATATCTCTGATCCGTACAGAACTATGCTCCAGACATTACTCTACTGAACTATGCTCCAGAATATAGTATAATATTCTCCCAAAATATAAGAGAAACGAATTTAATTATCTCAATAAATTACATAAAATCTACCAGGATGTACTAAAGGACATTGTCGTAATGGTACCAGGATGTATTAAAGATACCAGGATGCATTAAAGGACATAGTGGTAATAGTAATAAATATTATTGAAATATTAAAGGTCTGAATTATACTATACAGATATAGCATGAAATTTTATGTTCTTTCATGTTAATATACATTTTTTTAGGAAATATACTTTTGTTAACGCCTTACTCAATCCAGGCATAATGGAATGATATTATTATATTTTATTACCTTCATACTAAACTTCATAATAAACCCTCATCCCTTATTATACTATTTCAAATTGAAAATAATCCATATTATTGTCATGTATTAACTCAAACCTCAACTAAGTAACATATCATCTATAAATCTTAATATGGTATTATTTCATTTAAATATACAACAATTAAACTACTTATCATCTTATAATCGGTCTGATATAGCCATTATCTAAATATATCTGGTCCTTCAAAAATATAAACAAAGTAATAATTTAATAGATTTCGGCAGCATCTCGGTGGATCACGAACTTCTTATATATTTTTGTACAATCTATCTTGTTACAACTTTTTTGTGCAGCTTTTGATGAATCAGTACAAATCAGATATTTTGTCGAATTCTCAAATTATTTTTATAACTCCGAATGTGTTGTTTGTACAATTTTTTAGTACGTTGTTAAACCGTTCATATTTGTTACAATAAAAATATATTTGACATCGTTTTTTTACAATTAACCAAATTTGTGTGTCATATGAATTTATACAAAACGTCTATTATCCCGAGCGTTTAAAACTTTGAGCATATGTCGTCAGCATTTTTATTGTATGTATATATTTGCACAAGTTTAATTTTTCAAAACGTAATAAATTCATGAAAAACCCTTTTACCATTTTATTACGATCTGCTATTGCAATTTAATTAACTGGCTGAATAATTCCGAATCACCTGAAATTGCATTCATGGCGGTAATGAGGCAATTGATCTAGATATATATGATGTATATGCGCTCAATAAAATTTTATCGTACCGTTTTTGCGATTTTTATGTTAAATTATTTAATACCATGAAATGAAAATATTATGCAATAAATATAATAGTGGGTTAAGCGTAGAAAATATGACGTAATTCTCCATGGAGATAGAACGCAGTTTATTCGAAGCCAATTCTGTCACACACAGGACGATATAAATCACATGTAGCTGTTGCGAAGCTGTTCGAGCAATTTATGCGTTTGCGGGCAAAAAAAGGACAAAAAATCCATATATTTCAATTGTTTAGGAGATTCTTCATGGACCGTTGCTGACTTGTCATTTGGAAGTGGAATAAGATTACTTTTTTTCACCATATAGGGAAGACTGGGTACGGTTGTGCTAGCGGAGTGACAGTTTACATAACAGCTAAACTAAACTGATTTTGGCATAGGGTCCAAAGAGAGAAAGACGAAGTATGTTTGTTCGAACAAGTTTCCGCCCATACATTAACATAGGCTGTAGGTCGAATTGCTTTTTAAAAAATCAAAAGGAAGTTTTCATGTTCGAATTCTTTTTATAGTACCTATTTTATAATACTTGTATACAGATTGATCACTTGAATTCTTTCTACGGAAAATTTCTTGTTTGTTAATATGTTGTTAGGTGAATATTATTAGTAGTTAATTACCAGTAATTAGTTTTTGCTTAGGTAATTTAGCTTACAAAAGGATGATTTATTTCTAAAAGTGTGCGTTGGGTACGGTGGTGACAAATTTTGCGGGTACGGTTGTGACATGCCTTTCTTGTCCTTTTTGGGTGGAGATGAAACAGATAAAGAAAAATCTAACTTAACTAAGAAAAAATACGAAAAAGAAAGAGAAAGAAAAATGTTAAGCCTTCAATTTATTTACTTGTTAACGAGCATGATTTTTAAACAATTAAACCATTCTGCAGCCTTTTCTGAGAGATTTTGCCTGTTCAAGTAAATCTTAATTCTAGAAATTTCTCAAAAAAAGCTGCAGGATGATTTAACTGTTTAATATGATCCTCACCAACAAGTAATAATTTGAACAATTTTCCTATTCAAGAAAATCTAGATCTCAACTAGTAGCAGAATAGAATACCATTCTATTTAAAAGGAAAATTACTTGAATCGATGGAGTGGAAAACTTGGAAAATGGTATTTGATTCTATAAAGTGGAAACTGGCTACTTCTCAAGACGTGATATTGTCATCATTATATTATAAATTTCCAATTGTAATAATGTAATATGTCATTTCTGTACATTGGAGTACATATTAATGTTTTTATAGTGAAGATTTTATTTTCACATATGAGATATTTATGTTCATTTTTAAAAGTATTTTAATGCAATCTGCGTACAGAAAATGGAACGGAGTAGTGAAAAGTTTATGGCTATCAAAGAAAAGTTTAGAAAATAAAATAGATATAAAAAATAGATCCTAAAAATCAACAGATTATATCATATTATTTTTACAAGGCAAGAACTACAGAAATAGAAGTGAAAAAAAAAATTGTATTATAAAAATATAATAAAAAAATATATAAGTAATTAGGTCATCAAATATCAGTAAAATCAAATATTACTAAATAAAGAAGTTTTTGATTATTTTTTTCTTTCTAAAGTCTGGCATGCAAACTCATCAGTCATAAGGGCATTGTGTTGCATCTTATTTTAACCCTTTCGACTCGGATGCATGAAATTTATATAAATCTCGGAATTTGCGAGTGGAAAGTGTTAATAAATAGATATTTGTATGGAATATTCTAATTGTAAGAAAGAAATTTATCATATCTTTTCGATGAAAATGTTTGTCACCACATATATGTGTAATCCGAAGTTTTAAATTTAATATAAATAAATAATATTTGACTTAAATGATAATCAACATGTTTTATAATTTATAATGTTGTTAATATAATGATAAATAATATTGATATTTTAATTATAAATATTAATTTTCTTTTTTCTTTTTTCAGCTGGTGCCGCCCCTACCGGTGATGCCTTAAGACACAGTCGACCTTCATCCGTTAATAAAGGTAAAATACCTTTCTCTACATTTCTTATAAAATAAGAAAATAAAAATTTTAGAATCATTAATTTTATTTTTATAGAACTATCTGAATCTCGGTGGTTTGTAATTCCAAACTTATAAATGACTATTATTTGTTTTACATGTGAATGCAGTGAAAATGAGATATTGAGATCGAGATGTACCTATTTCTGAATAATTTACTAAAAAAATCTTGTTATTTTTCTGAAAATTCTGGGCATATTATTATTATATAATTGTTTGCATGATGTAGATGAATGTGGGAATGAATTTGGAGTTAATTGGAAATTGTGAAGAAAGAATGTATATTTAAATGGCGGTAATAAATTATCTAATGATGATATTAATACAAAGTTTTAATATTTTTTTGGTATGGAAGTGTTTTTTCCGTACTTCTTTATTTTAAATTTAATTGTCTTACTTGGATGAACTTTTTATTATTTCGCTAACTACTGCTTCATAACATTTTCTCGGATATTTGTCTCTCAGAACTTTTCTTCTTTATAATGATCATCAATAATATTTTGCTTAATGCATAAGTACTATAAGATAAAATCAGATAAATAACTAGCTGTAAGTGGAATTCTGTCTTAAGGCAATTAAGGCATCGTGCCTTAAGGCAAATTGCTGGAACTTCCCGTACCAAAAATTATTATTTTTTTAAAAACGATTAACATTTTTGAAAAAAAAATTACTTTGAAAAAATAAGATTTTTGGGAAACTATAAATTGGACAAAAAATAACTTTTTTTTGAAAAAAAAATTTTTTAAAAAAAAAAATTTTTTTTAATTTTTTTTTTTTTTGAAAAAAAAATTTTTATTTATTTTGACATATTGTGGAAGATCTGAACTTTTTTTCAAAGCAATCGTACTGCTTTAACTGCATAGGCACAAAATATAAAGCGCGTAAGAGCCGCGTCGCTGTCTAACGCATAAGCATTGGTACGGAACCCATAGGAATGTTGACAAAATGTATACTTATTGTTAAAATCTCTATAAAATATCTGATAATTTGATGTGCATATGTCTAATGATCATTTTTGACCGTCAAATGGCTCATTTTTTAACTTTTTCCTCCATATCTCCGAAACCGCTAGACCTACCTTCATGAAAATTTCATCGATTTTTCATCTTGTCAATACAAGTGAAATGTTTTTTGAATTATTCAAATCGGACGATCCGTTCTCTTAAAAACTGAGTTACCGTTTTCGGCACTTTTTGCCCCGTATCTTCGGAACGGCTAGACCTGCCTTCGCCAAAAACTAATCAGCACGTCTCCTTATCAATACGAATCGAATGTTTTTTGAATTATTCAAATCGGTTGATCCGTGTTCCTGATATCGTCGACGAAAATTTGTATCCGCACATACATACACACACGTACATACATACACACACACATACACACACATACACACACACACACACACACACACACACACATACATCCATTTTTTCTAAGGTATGCCAAAATGTTCAGAAACCTTTGAAACGTAAAGATATATAGAAATTTTCATTTTCGATTTTTTTGCGATTACTATAACTTACCCTACGGGAAGTTAATAATGCATAGTTGTTCATATATTTTAACAGATTAGTATAATAACTATAAAAGTTATACATAATATATAAAAAAATAAATAAATGAATATTGCATTTACCATAATAATAATGGATAGTACTGCAAATAAACTCGACTCAGGAAAAAATAGTATAGATATATATACATATATAGAGAGAGATTTTTTATTGCCATTTTACGCCACAGTGCCCGAAACGTGATATTTTTAATTAGAAACATATTTTTGATCTTCTCGTGAAAATGGACATCACTACTGCTCGATATCAGGTTGTCCAGAGCGAGGGCTTGAGCTTGCAAGCCGAGATCTATAAACTTCACAAGCCAAGATCTATAAAAAAGGCTTTTAATAATAGATTTTATATTTAATTTTATATGGATATAGAAAATAAATTTCTTTTTTGTATTAAAAAATTATCTTATATTTCAAGTGCTCACATATATCAAATTCATCCCTTAACCACCCAAAGAGAGCTTTCCATCATCATCGATATTATGTTTATATTTCCACACCTATCAACACATCGTGAAATTGAAATTCGAAAGAAACTTAAATCCCCGTGAAGCTATCGGTCAATTTCAGTAGTTGTATTTCGATAAAAATATTTTGATTTTCTATATATATGGAAATGTAAATGCAATATCGCCGTGCAGGTAAATCGAGCGTTTAAATTCAATTCGGTGTTGCTGCCTGCCAGGGCTTTGCGTTTTGCGGTAAATTTTGACAGGTAGTTTCACCGCATTCGTCTGCGGCTATTTGCATAAATGTGCGAAATAGCGGAATTTGATACACTACTATTTATTATGCTGATGCGGTTAAATTATACGGGTACAGGTAACATTGCGTAGAGCAACTTTGGTACTGAAACTCAGGAGTGTTGAGGATGGTAAAAGTTTTTGTTTGAAGAGTGATTTTGTTATTTGATATAATAATAATACTTTTTTATATATTTACCACGTACATTACATCTTCTAAGGTTCATAAATTAAAAGTATTTGCGAATTTTTGTGATACCCAACATCGTCAATTATTAATCGTTGTAGTTTTGCATTATTTTATTTAGAGGAGACTGAGTACGATTGTGCCACTTTTTTGGCCAGCAATATTTCTGTTTATTTACCAGTTAGCTGAAAAAAATCGTATTAAATTGTAACTGGAACATTTGTGGAAATACTGAAATACTGTACTTAAATACTATGGATTGGTCATAAAATCTATTCATACAAGAAAAGGGCACAGTCACAACCGTCCTGGGAGTACCGAAATACCATCACTTTGTGAAACCACTAAAATACTTTATAACGACTATACTATACTATACAATATTATTTAAATAATTATATAGCTTAGGAATATAACAATATATAACAAAACATATTTTTTTAAACAAAGCTAACAAGAAATAAACCGAACTATGCTAATCACATTTAAGGATAGTATTTCAATATTTCCACGTAGACAAATAATTCAGTTACAATTTAATTTACTTTTTTCCCAGCCTTACTTTTTATAATTAATAAGTAATATATAATATTAAATATTATTATATTATATTAATAAATAATATAATAATCACGACTAGTATTATTATAAATGTCTCTTTTAAAATCAGTCAAAAATGTTAATTAATATTTATCAGTTTACAAATCAGTCAAACTATTGCAGTAACTGTGTATCAATGTACTGAGATCTAGTCAAAATCATCATTACAATAGACTTGGATCCAGGAACAGCATTTTTCTTGGATCTTGATCTATTTTACGCCACCCCTACTTTCAGAATATGAGCCTCCACAAACCACACAGAATTTCTTGTGTTGAGTCAAAACATAACAGTAACTATGTATCTATATACTGAGATCTAGTAAGAATCATCGTTACAATGGTGATCTATCTTTTGCTCATTTGACGTGGAACCAACCGCATTTTTTTGGCACTTGATCTATTTACACCACTCCTACTTTCAGAATATGAACCTCCACAAACCAGACCGAAACTATCTTTTCTTGTATTGCTTTTTCCTGTACCTTTCTCTTGCATATTTAGTCTTAGTTCAATTAAAATGTTCTTTAGAAAACATGTCACAACCGTACCCACAAAATTTGTTACAAGCGTACCCAACGCATACTTTTGGAGAAAAATCATCATTATGATCGAGCTTATTTATCTATGCAAAAACTATTGTTGGTCATTAACTACTAATATTCAACTTACAGCAAAATAACAAACATAGTGATATTTTTGTATACAAGTAACTGTTATTATTAAAAGAAATCGAACATGAAAACTTACTTTTGACCCTTTGTTTTGATTATATTAATGTAGGGCGCTCAATCAATACAATAATGGAAACTTGTTCGAAAAAACATACTTCATCTTTCGGATCCTATTTCAAAATCAGTATAGCTGTTATGACGTCTGTCACTACCTTGGCACAACCGTACCCAGTCTCTCCTACTCTACAATCATGTTTAGCACATAAATAATAAAGAAGCCGTAGTGTTTATTATCCATAACGTTTTTCCTAAATATACGTTAACATTAATCTTATAATATCACAATACCTTTTATAAATCATAATTCATTCTACGACAGAGAACAGAATCGATTTCGAGTTTATCTTTAAAACTTCTTCTAATGGCCAACAAAAACTTTATTATCTGTTCTAAGTGTGAAAAACATTTTTGCTCTGTATTATGATGCTATTCACGGGGAAGAGTCGAGATATGCCCTTTGGGCACCTGTCTGGAATATAAGTTTCGCGGACAATCGCCGAAGTATTTTTATAGCATTGATTTATATTGAGATACTTTTGCGAGAGTTTGCTTTCGGGAATCGGTATAGTATTAATTCTGTAGAGTTTTCGAAGTTCTGACAGATGTTTTGGGATAGATAGTACCATATTTCAGATGCAGTTTTGAAGCCAACTTTTATTTATAACATTTAACTTGAAGATTAATGCTTAGCAACATATTCTTTGAAACTTTAAATTTCTTATAGCACTGGGTGTAATATATGGAACGACTATTTTTAAATATTTCTGCATAATTATTAAATATAATATTAAATATAATAGCTCAGATTTTTGAGATAGGGTTAGAAAAAATATCTGTAATGACGATAGAATAAATATTATAATATTAGGGTTAAAATAATTAGAGATTAAGAAAAGGCTGAGTCAACGAATATATAATTGATTTGTTAAATGTAGAAAAATATTCCCATTAATACACCAGAGAAAAACTATCATATAATATAGAGCCTCTATATTTTATATTATTTATTTTTTGTATTCTATTTGAACAAGTAGATTTAAATAAAACAGAATTCAAATAATATGTTATTTTTTTTATTATCATCTCTTTTATTTACAACTGTCCAGTAAAGGACATTCAATAAATTTGATTAATTAAGATTTTTCACTTCTGTCAGAAAAAAATATTTATATACATAATTATATTTCGATCTCATATGTGGCACAGTTTACTTGAAATTACTTAATAGTTTCCTTCAATTCTAAAATTCTAGTACAATATTTCTGTACACCACTTTATTTGTATCTTTACTGCTACATAAATGAGTAAATGAATAAATCTATAATACACATAATTTAACCCTTTCCACTCGCGAATTAATACGTGTTTTGCCCCCGGAGGGACGGCATCCGAATGGAAAGGGTTAATATGTATCTGTATCTCAGAAGTGTTTATTTTTCGATATCCTAAAATGTTTGCAGGTTAATTATTTCTTAAGAAACATACTTATGAAAATATTATGAAGCAATAATTAGTGAAATATTTATTATTTTATGGATGAATGGTTAGAACTGGAATGTGTGGATGCTGTAATGGACATTTAGTGTGTTGTATGAAGGAAAATATAATTTCGTTCAGTTTTATTTACTATTCACCACTTTAGACGATATATTGTTTAATTCTTACTTGTGGCGGTTCATTAATCACGTGATTGGTTTTTAAGGATTTTTGGTTTCTCTCAACCCTCTTAGTGATATTTAAAATTACTCCCCTTTTTCCAACCAAACTACACATGCATTTTAATATCTTTAAAAAATCCCAAAATTTTTGAAAAATTTTGGATTTTTTTAAAATCCAGGTAAAAAATAAATACACGTGATATTTTACTAGATCCTTCTATCTTTTGTAATATTTTGTGATTTTTTGTCACCCCTTCTTTTAGGCCTCACGTGATTAATAAACGGCCCCGAATTTGTTTGCACTCGTGAATTAATTTTTGTTCGTTTACTTGTGTCAATTTAAATAATTCAATTTTCAGCAAAATTATTTAGCTTATAAAAATATCATGAAAATCAGTTATATGTTATATACAGCTTCGATATCAAGTATAATCCGTCTAAAGTGTTTTATACCGATAAAAATAAAAATCTGAACAAAATTCAATTTTTTAATCTCCTTTAACACCTGCCCCCCGAATTACGATCTATCTCTCTGCTGTCAAAATCAAAATATAATCATTTTCAATCTCTTCGCGTTTGTATTTGTTCGTGTTTATCCACTACGAACGCGTAGGCCGTAGGCGAGTCAGGCCCATGTCGATGGATGCTACGCCGATCAACGCGCACACGATGCACTGGTTCGCCTATCTCGGCCCGGAACCAGTCGCCGAGCAGCAGCAGGCCCAATTGTCGGCCGAACAACAGGGCCAGCCTGACGCTGCGGCCTCTGCCGATGGCCAATTGTCGGATGGAGAGAACGAAGGTTGATGGAGAAACGAATTTTAATACATATATATTTATAAATATGCTTTGGTTTTTAGCGTTTGGTTGCCGAGGATGTGATGATTATTATATTAGAAATATGCATTTTGTGATGTTTATGATATATAATATGATGTTTGCAGTATATATTTAATTTGCTAGACATGAGGAAATATAACGCGAATAATGATCAATCGTCTTTGTTAAGAATTCTTTTGGAATCTATTATTATTATTTTTGCTTAGAATTTGTTTTATATATTTTATGATTAAACCATAAAAAACTTGAAAAATACACTATTATATATGAATAAACCGTGCTAAACGAAAATTACTATAAAATATCTCTTTTTGTCAGTTTCTAATATGATGAATAACAACACATTGAACGAGAAATAAATATTTAAATCTATTTTATATTTTAGATACATATAATCTATTAATGCTAAACACATTTGATAAATTGTAGCTTTCATCATTAATAGACTAAAAATTGGCATCATCTATAATTCCTCTCATTATTACGGAGAACAAATTTGGTTTTAAATTAAAATTTTGGTTTGTAAAGATATAAACTTTCTTTCATTCTCTAGTTTTTTATTATTATCTTTAGCGATTGTCGAATTGAAAAAATATATAAATTATGAGTTTTGTTCAAATAATTCTTTTATTTGCTTATCTTGAATTTTATGCTATCAATTTTATATAGACACTAATTATCCACTAAATGCACACATTTTTGAAAAATTTACTGACAAATAATTATCGTATTTTTTAATTATTGCAATAATTTAGATTTGTGTTTAAATTATGATTTATGTTAGATAAGAAAGTTAGAAATCAAACTAAATTAACAAACCGCTATCTTTGCCAAAAAAATAATTAATACTATCAATCAAACTTTGGTCTCAAAAAATATGATTTTAAACAGTGGCACTTAGTACCGGACATTTCAAAATAACCTGCATTGATCACATATATAGATCCATCTCCACACTTTGGAATGTCTGCACATGTGTCTTTGACGAATATTCTTAGATATTGCAAAAAAATAACTATTTATCCGGGTGTCACAGGCGAGGCTTTGCGCGTGATCCTGTACCTTTGTGCCCCCAAAGCCCCTTTCACTTGTATTTTGAAATGAAAAGATTTATACTCGCTTAAATAATACGTGCTAAATAGAGTGTCCGGTGTTTGGTGCCGTCCGGCGTTACGGGATTTCCCCCTAAGTAAAAATTAAAAAAAAAAATTTTGTATCGTTTAGTTTATAATAATAAATGAAGGAATCGAGTCACAGGCTCAAAAAACGCGTTGATATATAAATATATTTGAAGTATTGAGCTCCTTGAATTTTTTACATTAATTTATATATATAGTAAAATATAATATATAATTTTATAATATGGTCGACCCTAATTTCAAAAGTATTGAAATTATAAATTACATAGTGCATATTATGATAAAATCACAAATATTTCTATTTTAATTAAAATTTGGTATGCACGTCTGATTGATTATCGCGCACTAAAACTCGGCAAAAGTTAATTGAAATATAGTTTCAAGTATGTACACTAAGCAAATGTTTTCCTGATTCTTGTAACTATTATTAAACTATGTACGTACAAGAATGAATTCCACGAAGGTATTTTGAATTATTTATTATATAATAGGTTCCACAATATTACGGTCTCCTATTGAAATCCTTGATCATTTTTTAATTTATTTTCGCAAAATATCATTGTTTTAAGCTTATAATGAAAAGTTATGCTTAACTCGGTAGTTTCCTCATGTTTAGTAAATACGGTTATTGGATTGTTTAGAATTAACTTAGATTTAAGGAATGTGAAAACGAGCTTGTTGCAATTGACCCAATTATAATGTTAAGTCATATTGTAAACGTATTCAATTGATATCATTTTAATCCTTGTCAAAAGCCTTGCTAAATTGTGTATTGAACTATCGGGTTGGCATCTAAGTAAGTGCGGATTTTTGCTAGAATCAAAGTCATTTTTTGCTATCTTTTATGCAGCATCATTATCATAAAACTTATGGTTTTTATTAGCAAAAAACTGAATCAGGTTCAATTTGACATCATCATAATCATTAAATTGTTTATCATTCAAGGAATTTTGTATAGATCGAAACAAATAGTAATCAGAAGGTGCATGGTTAAGATGATGGTGGATGTGGCAAAAATACCCAAACAAGCTTCAGTTTTTTTTGCCGAGTGGCCAAAGATATGTGATGTCAATAATGAAATAAATCGCCATTTCGATTTGTCAATTTAGGCAGTTTGCCTTCAACTGCGTTATTTAATTTCGTTAGTTGCTCAATGTAAACATCAGAATTGATCGGTTGTAAGAGTGATATCATCTAGACGACCAGAGCATTTTTTATCTTTGAGTAAAAAATCACCAGAATGAGTACTAGCAAACCAATTTGATACTGCCGTTTTTTAAGGCTTTATCCACCATAAACAGCTAAAAAAAATTTTGTGAACTTTAGATGCCGTTTTACCTTCGCAAAAATAAAGAAGCAAAATATAACAAAATT